ATGTTGCTGTTGGGATTCTCCTGGGTATTGTCCAAAGGAGATGAAATTAAAATATAGGCCCTCTATTTCTTCAAAGATTAAAATATTCCCAGGAAGTCTTCATCATTCCCTAAAAGTATCAGAGAGCCTCAAACAATTGTGTTCAGACTCTGATAGGTAATACCACGGGTTTCATTTTAATGAGCATCTCATTAGTCAATCCTCTCTGCTGTGTGGTGTCACAGAGCTGTGCCAAGACAAGAAAAAGAGTCAAGAAAAGAATGGACCTCACAGTTGCAATATCTCCAATAGCCATGTGCTGGGCCAGTTACTTGGCATCTGTAATCTTGACGTGTGTCACATCAGCTACACATATGTGTTGATTGTTACTATCCTCTCTTTGCTGGTACAGTAGCTGAAGTTCCTGGGGAGGAAATGATGAGTCCAAAGCCTTCAGTAAAACCACATGCTTTTTGAGAAGCACCATCTGCCTGGTCCTTCAGGAGAGGTTCCGCAGCACACGAGTTGACTAGATAACATGTCATCTGACGAGAAAGCCCAGTTGCCCCAACCTTTGACTGAACCCAGTTCCGAACATAGACTTGAAGCTATCTTCTTACATTCTGCCACACTCTGAAGGATCAGGAAGGCTCTGGGGCTGCTTTCCCAGCCCTTTCCTCCAGCTGAGCCCTGAGATTCCAGTTGCCATGTATGAAACCACTACAGACTCATTTCTTCCTTCATTTAACACTGCTCCACTGAAAGACCAAAAATTAGTGACAGAGTGAAGCACCAAAAGTGAGGAAAACTGTTCTGAACCCAAATCTGCTGCTCTTTTACCTGCTGTGAGATATTTGGGCTCAGTCTTCCCACAAATAAAATACATAATCTCCATTCACATGACCCTCTGGATCCATAATTGTAAAATCTCAAGGGGGGGTCCAGTTTTAAGTTTGCCACAATCCTTACTGTCTAATGCATGGTCCTTTAAATCACCTTCAGCAGTCTTCATCCCTGCCCCTTTCTCTCCCCTCCTCTTTTGGAAACAAGACACTGGAATACCACTGGCATACCTTTCTCTCCAGTTTTCCAAAGTAAAAGAGTAGTCCACCATTCTTCCAGGAGCCACAGCTTGTCAACAAAACACACAGTACCAACTCCAACAGTCTGAAAGCTGTGATGCTCAATGAGAATTTGGAGTTTTAGACTCTTGTCCTGTCTCTGTCACTAACTTTCTCTGTGACCTAGGACAAACTTGCAATGGGGGCCACATTGGGAACATGGAAGTGGTGTGTTTGCCAAGTTTGTAGAGAGGCTCTTAAAGGCAGCTTATATTTCAAAAATCATACAAAGTCTTTCAGAAGCAGGATGCTCATAACTTAGATTGCCACTGAGATGAAAAGTTTTTCCTCTGCCCCTGAGTCTCAAAAAATCTGAACATGTGCAGACATAGTCTCCAACCTGGGGTAGAACAGCAGACACATAAAAGTAAAAGTTGGAACCAGGACTGACTTCCTGGCCCCAGCTAACCCCACACATACACACACACGCATCAGTACTGGCAGTGCAGATATACATCAGGCCAGTATGCTAGAATCGTCTAGAAAGACACTTCCACATCTCAGTCTACAGTGCTCTCCATATAGATAGGAACACTAAAATCTAAAAGAGAAACTCCTAGAATCCCAACATCCAACACATCAATTTAGCCTCCATCCCCAGATAGTTCATATTCTATTTCTCAAACTAAGGTACTTCAGGCTCATATTCATTGGGAAAACAGAAAGTGGAGATAGAGTTCACAATCTGGGCACCCAATCCTTAAAGCTCTAGGACTACTTCAGGGTTCCTACTCCATGGGTTCCCCTCTAGAAGTCTTCATATCCACCATATAATGTCTTATAATAGACTTACAAGCTGATGAGACTTGAGCTACATGGCTTGTACCCCACACAATATTGTCTAGGTCATAACAAGAACCCTGTGACTTTCAAAGCAGCATACCCACTCCTTGATCAGCACTGACTGCCCAAATATTCAAGCTTCCATCTCTGTGACTTGGGTTATAACTTGGGTGTCTTTGGCGTAGGTCTTGCCATCACCATTCACCATGTGGGAGAAAGGAGGTCATAGTGTTAGCCATTGGCTGAGAACTTTTTCATCCTTCAGAAATCACTGAGATCCTTGATATTTGGGCCCCACCAAGCATCTGTTACTCTTCTTCTCTGTCAACATATCCAGATGTGAAACAACACATATGTTGCCTCTGGGGTCTTCTTCAAGCTCAACAGTGCTACTCTCTCAATAAACAGCCCCCTCCTTGAACCAGCTCTAGCAATGCCATTCTTAGAAGGAGAATCCCACATTTCTGTTTTAACATGAAACCATCTAATAGACTCTTTAAGAACAACTAAAATATGTCTGCCATTTGACTTCAGGAAATGCAAATGCTTCAAAATAAGATTGCTTTTTTCCATCGTTGGTTTTCTCAGAATTACAACTGAGGTTACCCCACTATACACATGAAGACCAAAGGGGAAAAACAGCAGAAAAAAGCCAGCATGTGTGAGAGGCAAGCCAAGGCTTGTACGCTACCACCATCTGTTTGTAGGTGTTCAGCTCTTGCAGATGTCACCGCAAGCCACCTGATACAAAAGGGGCCTTTGGACAAGAGAGATAGGGTCTGTATTTTATGTGATATCCTGGCTCTCATCAAGGTCATGAGTCCTACTTTCCCATCTAACTTTGACAGAATTTGTGAAAATGAGGACAATGTTCTTGGGGGGGGGGGTAAGCATCCCTACTCACTACACTGGTGCTCTAGGTACTGAGTAAGCCCCTACTGAGGGAAATAAGAGAGATGCACTAAATAGCTTCATTCAGAAAATGCTTATGAAGCATCTTCATGGCTGATCAGTAAGAGAGACTAAACAGAAGTTTCTGCCAGGACAACTGACTTGATGGAGGAAGGGGTTCCTGGGGTCAGGAATGGGAGGTGTTCAGGTAGAAGCATATTCATGTGGTTGTTTAGAGGAACTGCAAGCTGTAAAACTCTAGTCTACAGCTACAGGGAAAAAAATCTGTTTGGGCATTAAAGTCTCATTGGCTGAGTTTTAATCTCCACCTCACCAGCAACTAACTGTGTGGCTGAGAAAAAAACCAGTTAACCTTTTAAAGACTAGGGTTTCCTATAGACATGATAGAAATAACTGTAAACTGTATCTCACAGGGCAGTTGTGAAAGTGAAATGAAATCATGGCTGTAGCATGTTCAACAAAGTACCACAAAAATAGTCAACATTTGTTATGATGATGGTAGTGATGGTGACACTGATTACTATTAAGACATAGAGTAAAAGGAGATGAAGGATGGAATGGGCTGAGACTAGAGAGATCAGGTAGAGTTAGAACCCCAGAAGTCATGAATGCCACCTATAGGAGCTGTAGATAACAGAAATCAGAGAATGATTGCCAGCAATGAGAGCCAAATTTGCATCTCTCTGATTTCTTCTGGTTGATGTTCTATAACCTCAAAGATGAGACTGGATAACAAGGAGTGTAATGTAGTCACAATCCATTAAAATATCACACTTTAGGATCAGGGTTCTGATTGTAAACACCCCATGAGTATATGCATGGCAGCAGCAGGCCTCACAGAAACACTACTTAGGTCATGAGCATGGTATAGTATCTAGAGAGTAGAAGCTGGCCTTCAGCCCTTGATGGGCCAGAAGCTCTACACAGGTCAAGAGCAGCAAATGACTATTGCCCTCACTTCTGCTAGGGTTCCTCTAGTAGTGAACTTACTCAGACAGCAGAGGGAACTCTTCACTCAACTTTGAACCACTTTCAGGCTCCAAGGACCTTCTCAAATCTGAGCAGAGGAAGCAATGGCATAGTACAGTGTTCATAAAATTCAGAGAGACAGTAAGTAAGCACAGCAGGACACAACCCCTCATGCATGAGCTTAAGCCTGTTAGTCTCTAATGGATTTTCTGAGTGGTCATATCTGGTGACATCATCAAAAAGGTATCAACATCAGGTTGGAGAGCTTCCAGTTTACAAACAGGGGAGCCAAAACCCAAAGAAGAGAAGAGATTTGCTCAACGTATATTGAATTCATGAGTCATTACAGATAATGTATAACTTGGTTCTCAGCATACAAAATGGCTTGTTATAATAAGAAAGAGCTACCATCCTTTGTGAAGATATTAAAATATTTTTATTTCTCAAGTGCTATAATGACACAAATACTGTTTCTACCAAAGAAGCTCCAGATGGGAAGCTTCCTGCTAAGATGTTATTCATGCTTTGTCCTCTTAAAATTGAGTGGGAAGCTTTTATCTTTGTCATTTTTATCTTTGTGGCAGGGTGGCCTAAAGAAGGAATTCCATCCTCTGGAATGAGGCAGATGTAGGAAATCCTCACATTTCCACATGGTTACTTAGCCTTGAGTCTGTCCTTGGTTGTCTTCTTAAAAGTAGATCCTAAATTAGTCTGAGAACTAGATTAGCTAATGTAGGTAAAAGCAGGACAGAGTCTAGTGTCCACACAGCATGCTGGGTAGCAATAACTCCATCAATGTTGCTGTTGAGGAGACCAGTGTTTGGGCTGAAGGACATGAGATTCCCAGTCTCCCTTGACCTGATAGAGGTATTTAATAACACTTTTCATGATGACTGTCAGGAATGGTGCCCAGTACACCGTGGGGACTCAGATCATATTTGTTTAACTTCTAAAGTCTTTTATAACAATCCAAGTAGCAGTAATAAATTAAAAATAAACTTCAGAACTGTTAACATCCTAAGCCTTTTATCAGCAAAATGAAAACAATAGGGTTGGTGGTGGTGGTGGTGGTAGTGGTGGTGGTGGTGGTGGAGGTGGTGGTTGGTGATGTTTAAATTAACCCCACAGACAGAAACAGAATAGTAAATGTCAATCTCAGAGGGTCACAGAGAACCATCTGGTTTTCTGCAGTCCCCAGAGGAGCACAAGACAACTCATGCCTGGTCTTGTTTTTAGGAAATTGTTCAGAGGATCTCTTATGTACGCTGAAAAGGACTCCATTCAAGAAGTCATGGGCCTACCTCCGAGGTCAGTAACCACAGCCAGAAAAATCTAACCCCACGAAGGCCATGTCCTGGGCCAATTTCCAGCCCTGAAGACTCAGTAAGAGTTCGCTGGCTGAGCATGACCTGTACATGTGTTCTTAACCAACACCATACTTTTCATAAATTGAATCTAAATGTCTTAAACAAAGATGACAGTGCTTCTCTTCAAAGGTGCGAGGCTTTTCTTTCCTCAGCCCCATCAGAAAAAAAAAAGTTAATTACGGGTTTAGAAGTGGCACAATTAAATAAATAAATAAATAAATAAATAAATAAATAAATAAATAAAATATGCAAGCCATGAGCTTGGAGGAAGCTGTGTTAGGGGCTCTATTGGGCCTATTGACCAGAGACAGATGAACAGATGTTCCAAAGCTCCCTCAGCAGGTGGGAATCACCCATTCACTTCTTTGTGTTTCCTATCTGTCCTTTGAAGACACTTTTGTCCCTCACTTCCATCACCTCACTCTTCTTCTTCTACCCCCATTGTTGTACACCTGCCTACTCACTTGGACCAAGTCTTTTCCCTAATGCAAAAAAAAAAAAGAACGGCCTCCATCTCTGCCACTACCAAGTTATTCACAGGGGAACTACAAACTTGCCTGGTCCCCAGATTGACAGCTTAATGAGCTCCTTGGCTCAGGGCCTGTTTGCGTATTGCAGTGTGCTTCAGGTAAGAGTCCCTTGCAAATGAAACAATAAGAGGCTCTTAAAGCATGCAAGAATGAGCTAAGGAAGAGATAGCCAAGATTTCCTGAATAGCCATTTTGCTTATTTCAAAAAAAGTCCCATTTTGCAGTGAGATTAATTCATGCCTTTCAACTGAATTGCAAGAAGGTTTGAAGAGACAGCCAGCAGACCAGCTTCTGGGTTCTGGGAAGCACCTTTACCAGTCAGTGCTAATTCTCTTTTGCTAGGACCCAGAGAGTTGGCTTTCACACAAACATTTTATCTTAGAGGCTCTGTTGATTCTCTGCCTTTCTAACAGTCCTGGGTAGCAGGTGTCTCACTGTGCACGCGAAAGGCCCTTGCAAGGATGCTTGACTGCCCTTTAAGGAAAGGAGACATTCAAAACTCCAGACCAAATTAAAGCGTGTATCCTAATTTTTATTAGCATATGTCAGTTGTCTATGATAATGGGTTTCATTGTTGACATTTTCATGCATGCAGATAACATACTTTGATTTTATCTTAAATGCAAAAGTTAACCAAGTTTCTCCTGAACAACTCAATACTGAAAGTGAACAGTATTGAATGTCACAGCTCTCACACCATCTGTAATACCTATCAAACCAGAAGTCAAGACTAAATGGTCATTCATGACAAATAGCATAGACCTTGTAGGTATGGTCTAAAAGAGAAAGGAACCAGGAAAATGGCTTGGGAGGTAAAATAATTGACTTGTAAGTTTGAGGATCTGAGCTGGAGTACTGGAACCCACATGTTAAAAGCCAAGCATGGTTCCCCATGCTTTCAATGTCAGTACTGATAAGGCAGGGATAGGAGGATATCTGGAAGCACACTGGCTGACCAGCCTAGTCTACTTGACAAAATTCTGGTCAGTGAAAGTCTGTTTCAAAACCATAAGTTAAGGGACTAGGGAGATGGCTCAGCAGTTAAGAGCACTTGTTAGTCTTCCAGGAGACTCAAGTTTGGTTCCCGGCATTCACATCAGGCGTCTCAAAACTGTTTTGAGTTCCATCTCCAGGGTATCTTGTGCCCTCTTTCGG